AAAAAAGGTCAATGTCCCGTTAACGCATCACCATGTGACACTACGAATTGTATCCTGGTCTTCCATACGTAGCAACCAAATCATTTTATTTTCATTGTGTGCATCTATTTTTTATTTTCGACTGGATATAACAATGACTTGGGGGGGGGGGACTGCAACAGCCCGTACAGTTAACACGCCATACTTAATAAACACGCGCACACACACAATGAACATAAGGTATATTTGAATTTATTGCAGCCAGATTATTCGGTACAAACATTAACATTATAATTTTTTATAGTTATAGAAAGCAGAAATGAATAATGCACGAATCATTAGTAAAGCCTAACCAGTGGGTCATATTATACTTATGCACTAAATTACCGAACAAGATCATTCTGAACGTTGGAAGCTGTTTACATACAGTTCGTTGTAATTAGTATTTCTCCTCCACGTCAATCAGAGAAATGGAACTCGGATGAAATATATATATTATTGACAATAACATCTAACAAACTGAATACCACAATTAAGATTGTTCTATTAAATGGAAATATTATGAATGAAAAAACAAACAAACGTGTTTTAAATGCAAAAATGCCATGAAAACAAAAACACAAAAAACGGTCCGAAGAGGACTATTTCAGTTAGCATGTCCATGTGAAACTGAGTCTGGAGGCTGCAACTATTTTTAGTTGAAAGCATCCCAATGTGTAATAATATAATTGTTGTTAATGCATGCATTCACCAAGTGCGTATACAAGTAGTCTGGTAGAGAGCGTCGCTGATGGTGTGAATGCAAACACAGCGCAGTTCTGTTGACGATACACGTATCGCTACGGTCACGCCTAGTGTTATTAGTGAGATTGCTGGTTGGACAACGTGATGCGATAAGGGCGGTGAGAACACCATGTTATAATGACATTGGCATGCTAAAAGACTAACTATACTAAATGTCACGACGACGGAGGCAGTAACGGCGTCAGTTCTACTATTCAGTGACTTTCTTGAAAAATCTCTTACAGCTGACGGTTCCATATGTGATGGTGTTCGTCATTTCTCCCTCGCCAACGACTTCTCTCACTTCACTTATATCAGGGGTCCCAGAAGTTGTCTTGAGCTCAACCGCTGTGTCGGACAAAATCTTTGCGACGACCTTGCGGGTTTCACCTGGTGCGATGATGCTAGCTGGATGGTCGAATTCTTCACCATCCTTGAATTTGCATTCGCGAGTGGTTGGACCGCCGAACCCAACGAATCGCATGATATATGTATCGCCGTCCTTCTCATACTCGAAAGTAGGGTGAATTTCTTTGGCTACCTTCTTCGCCAAAGCATTGGCACCCAGAGCATCTAAGAAAGCATCGAATTGGTCGTCGTCGTTTACGTGTTTCCATTTGCCTTGAAAAGCCATATTGTAGTGTAGGATACGTCTAGCAGCAGTTCACAATGCGCAGCGAAGGTTTATTTCAGCAACGAATGAAAATTTAGCCAGGCACCAAAAGCTTTATCAAGAGCGATGCTTGCAGGCGTTCGTTTGGATATCAGCCTTCAGCCTTTCTATTGGTCAGGAGAACTCAGTCAACGCATTGCATCCTTAAACCAGTTGATCTGATTGGCAGAATTCTAGATGCCGGCATAATTATATGTTTCGCTTTGTTGTTTATTACCTGTCACCCTAGCCTCATTATATATGCAACATTGAACAATTGATGATACTGTACGCCCGATATTACTGAGCTTATATAGTGCTTCGTGTGCTATAAAAGCGCCACACTGTCTGTGGTGTACGTGACATGTTCAACAATTATTAGTTATGGGAACAGACGGTTTCGATAAAATAAAAATCAGACCTTCTGTAAAAATTAAAAAAAAAATGACAGTTTCATGTTGAACTAGTATATTTATTTGGTGTTGCGGTTATAATGTAACTGATAGCACGCTTGCAAATGAGCGGCACTCCTTTCACACAAATATTT